CTTCTATAATACATCATTTGTATTTGTATTGTGTGTTCACCACTCAAAGTCAAGTCTCCTTCTGTCACCATTTATCCCCATTTTATCCTCTCCTACCTCCCCCACCCCTTTTCCCTTCGATAATCACTGTTGTCTGTGTCTATGAGATTTTTTTTGCTTAATCTCTTCACCTATTTCGCCCAGCTCTTCCCCCACTTACACACCTTTTCCCCTCTTATAGCTGTCAGTCTGTTCTCTGTATCTATGAATCTATTTCTATTTAGTTTGTTAGTTTATTTTGTTCATTAGAGTCTACATATAAATGAAATCCTATGGTACTTGTCTTTCTCTGACTGACTTATTTAACTTAGCCTAATACTCTCCAGGTCCATCCATGTTATTGCAAAAGGTAAGATTTCTTTCATTTTTTAATTTTTTTTAATTTTTTTAATTTTTTTTTTTTTACAGCTGAGCAGTATTCCATTGTAAAAAACCTCAAATTTTTTATCCATTCATCTACTGATGGGCACTTGGGCTGCTTTCAAATCTTGATTATTGTAAACAATACTGCAATGAACATAAGGACGTGTATATATTCTTTAAAATGTGTTTTGGATTTTTTTGAATATATCCCAGAAGCAGTTCATTTTTAATTTTTTGAGGACCCTCCATACAGTGGCTGCACCAATCTGCATTTCCATCAACAGTGCACTAGGATTCCCTTTTCTCTGGAGACATTTTTGCTGTCCTAACCTGGGAGAGGAGAGCACTACTGACATCTAGTGTACAGAGAATAAAGATGATTCTTCATGATCCTTCAATGCACAGGACAGTCCCCCACAGAAAAGAATTATCTAGAAATGCCAAGAGTGCTGAGGCTAAAAATACCCTAGCTAACAGTTTCCACAAGACAGCATCTACCTTTATTAGAATTAAAATATCCTAATCAAGAGAAAATAGCAAGTCAAACAGGTATATGCTAGAGAATTGGCTAATCCAATATAACCTTCAGAACAATGGATCATAGACCTTGTTAAAAAAAAGAACACCATAAATGAGAAGGAAAAACAAAACAAACCCAAACCCAAACCAAAACCAAACACCATGTTTAAAATTTTTCCTGAAACCCTCACTCAAAAAAAGCTTCTCTTCCAGTCTGAGAAACTTTACTGTCAAATTGAGACTATCCAAAATAGCCTTAGGAATTCCATGTAATGTCTGCTGCAGAAACAGGTAGGGTAACTTAATGACCATAGGATTGCAGGCTATAGCCCTTTTGATGGACAAAAATGTTTTTATTCTCTGAGCATGGTATCCCAGAGATAAGAGATGGAAAACAATTTTTTTTTTAAAAGGAATCACATAGTTGCCAAAATTCATCTTTTATAAATCAGTTGAATAATATACCAATAGTTGTATCAATCTGAGTCCATTAGGGGAGAGAAACCACAAAGTACTGTGAACAAAAAAAGTTTAATTAAATAATTGTATACATTCTTACATAAAATAAATATAATTATTCTTTAAAAATTAATAATCATATTATATAAATTAAGTAAACAGACACATCGTAGTTATATATAAATGAAATATGTTTTAAATACATTTGTTTATATAAACATATGCATTAAAATATAAAAAAGACCTAAATAACTAAATAATTCTGATTATATATTTATTATGTAAATAGAATATACACAAGATATTGGCTACTAAGAATTAATGAGAACTCTTAAGGAACAGCCACATCTCCTATGACTGAGGAAGGGATGAGCCAATAACGAGAGCCAGACCTTGGAGAAGCCCTGGCTGGTAACTCAGTTTGTTAGAGCATCAGTACACCAAGGTTGTGGGTTTGGTCCCCAGTCAGGGCACATACTACAAGACTCAACCAACAACTGGGTAAATAAGTGGAACAACAAATCAATCTTCTTCCCTCCCTCCCTAAAAAAAAAAAAAAAAAAAAAAAAAAAAAAAAAAAAAAAAAAAAAAAAAAAAAAGGATGAAGGCTCTGCCCTGGCTCCCTGAATGGCACAGAAGTCACTGTGGTGCCACGTCAGCCAAACTTGCTGGAATCTGCCCTCTGGAATTTTGGGGAAATCCACTGTCTAGGGTGCTTTGGGAAAGCCATTTATTGGGAGATGTCTCACCAGAAGAACTTTGCTACAGTTGCTGACTTAACGGAAAGCAAAGTCTTTTTCTTTTTCAATGTCTCTCCAGTGCCCTCTGTTGACAAACTGACATTGTTCCAGCTGGCAGAAGAAAAATAGTTAAGGGTCCAGATGAATTTTTACAGGTGAGGCAAAATGAAGACTTTGGATCTAAAAGTGAATAAAATAAAAAATTGGCACAAGGATGATTTTGCAATGCTTTTGGGGCTAACAACACCAGTAATTTCAAGCTGGTAGTGTCCAAATAGCCAGGGTGGGGCTTCATGGGCCTGTGAGCTATTTGTCTACTACTGTGCAGAGTGCAGTAATTCCAAAAGTGTGGCCCCGGGTCAGCCGTAATATCATCTGGGAACTTGTTAGAAATGCAAATTCCAGGGCTCTGCCCCCCAAACCTATTGAATCAGAAACTGGGGTTAAGGGCCAGCAATCTGTCTCAATGAGCCCTCCAATTAATCCAGATACAGGCTAAGGTTTGAGAACCACTGCTGGAACAATTCGTTCCAGGAACTTGCTGTGCAGGCTTGAAGGGAGGAGTCAATAGGGATGTCTTTCCATGAGTTTTAGTCTCAATTTTTAATCTTGAATAAAACAACCCAGCTTCCTAGGACCTGGAAGCTAGCAGGGAACATACTATTATATCTCTATTTTTTGCTATATTGATGGCATCTTTGTGGACCCTGTGGTGTGACTGCATTGGGATATATTCTAGTACTTTTTAAAAAAAATATATTTTATTGATTTTTTACAGAGAGGAAGAGAAAGGAATAGAAAGTTAGAAACATCGATGAGAGAGAATCATCAATCAGCTGCCTCTTGCACACCCGCTACTGGGGATGTGCCCGCAACTAGGGTACATGCCTTTGACCAGAATTGAACCCGGGACCTTTCAGTCCGCAGGCCGACGCTCTATCCACTGAGCCAAACCGGTTTCGGCAGTATTTAATCTTTCAAAAAATTGTTTTATTTTTGTTGTTGACACTATTACAAATGTCTCCATTCTCCTTCCCCAACCCCTTTGACCACATCCACCCTGCCCTTACCCCACCTTCCCTCTGGCCATCACCACATTGTTGTCTGTGACTATGGGTTACTATGGGTTATGCATATGTGTTCTTTGGCTAATCCCTTTGCCTTCTTTCATCCAGTCACCACCCTCTCCCATCTGATGGCTGTCAGTCTGTTCCATATATCCATGCCTCTGTTTCTTTTTTCATCTCCCCATCACCACTTATGCTCTTTATACTTCCTCCACCTCCATCCACCTCCCCCCTCCTCACCCCCACTCCCTGCAATCACCACACTGTTTTCCAATGTCCATGAGTTCTTTCCTTTTTAGTATTTAATATTTGAAGTATGTAAAATGTGAAAATGACTATATTCTTTGACTAAGCGCTATTTTGTAAAATTTCAATGTAATTAAAGAAAACCAGCAATCTTTGTAGGTATCTTTTATAGCATGTTATTTGCCAATATAAAACACTTGTACAATACTAAATGTCCAACAACTGAGAAATGATTCAATAATCTTACATCAATTTGAACTATTATGCTACTCTTACTTTATAATTAGGAATTATATTTTAAATACAATGTAGAAAAATACCAAAAAGAAAAATATAAAAATTTGATTATATTTTTAGTTTGCAATTTCTTATTTCTATGATTTGAAACTAGACACATGACATCTTCTACACTAAGATGTCCATGTTGTCTTATAATTCGCTTTCAATGAGCAAAACAGAACTCAGGCTTCAACTCTTAACTGGGAGAGCAATTTAGTTTTATTCAGTTTCATTATATAATGGACTCCATAAAGCTTCTTAAATATTAAATATTAATTTTAAAAGGAAACAAGCATCACAATAAACCATGTAACCATATAAAAGACAGATGAATGTGAACAGCAAAATCACTGGATGTATACTCATTAAAATGTTAACATGCTGACTGGTGGACATATAAATGATTTTTTTTCTCCTTTTGCTTTTACATTAAAATTTGTTTTATAATCAATACTAGTGGCTCAGTGCATGAAATTCGTGCACATTAAAAGGGGATTAATTAAGGAAATGTTTTAATATTGCTATTTGCCCTTCTCTATAATATAAGTGTTAGAGATAAAAGAAAATCAGTAAAACGTATATGAAAATCTTCCTCCCGTTAGAGTCTGGGATGTGCCGTGGGACCCAAAGTCAAGTCCCAACCCACCCACGGTGCCTCAAAATCGTGTGACCCTGACCCAGCTGGCCCCACTGGGTAGGGGGCGCAACCTCAGGTCTCCTGGCCCAGCACTGGGTGGGGGGGCTCAACCTCAGGTCCCTGCTGATTGCTCATTAAGGCCTGTTATGGGAATTCAGCCTCCGCTGTGGGCGCAGCCATCTTGTGTTATGGAAACCCCACCTCTGCTGAGGGCACAGCCATCTTTGTGATAGCATGATGGTCAATTTGCATATTCCCTCTTTATTAGATAGGATACTGTTATCATGAGGTAAAAGTAAATATTCTTAAAGGATGTTTGAATGATGCTAGTGACTGGACTGCCTTATTATAGTGAGAATAGGTAATCATTCAAATTCGCTTCAAAGTCTGGATTTAAGAAGGATGGAATTAAATATATAACTTCACATCCTTATTCTCCTGGGTCATTTAGTGTTTCTTATCAATCAAATTCAGTCTTTGCTGTTTCCCATTCATAATTATGACTTTATCACAATTACGCTTTTACATGCTTAGAGTGGAAAATTAGTTGATTAGGGTTATGAGATGTTATGAGAAATGTAAAGTGTAGTCAAATGAAACATCTGAAACTCCTCCCCACTAGCTCATTCCTGAATTAAGGGTCACAGCGGGCTATGCTGAGGATCCCTCCAGGCTGGCTTTGCAGGACACTGGTTGGAAGAAATGGGAAAGACGGTGGGTTAATAAAACACGGTAACTTATACAACTGGGAAAAAAATAACATAGGTCTTGGAGGAAGGAAAAGCTGATCTGTTTCGGTTTTTATTTTTCTTCTAAAGTGTCTGTTACACACAGGGGTGGGCAAAAGTAGGTTTAGACTCTTCATATGGACAATCCAATAATTAATAAACAAATAATAACACAAGAATAAACTGTGTTTAGGTACTCACAACTATAAGCCTACTTTTATTGAGGTCTATCCTGATGGGTCTTTTTCTGTAGACTTACATCATTGGAAACACCTCATAGAATAAATACGTTGCTTCCTTTATTCACAGAACTGTGTGTTAGATCTATGGGAAGTGATTACAAGATATCTGAAAACAAACAAACAAACAAACAAAAAAACCTACTTTTGCCCACCCTGTATTTTCTTTTTTTTAAACTTTATCCAATATCTAGAAACAAGCAAGATAGCCTTAAAAGGAACAGTCCATTATTTCCTTACAAGTCTCTAGGACATAGACAAGCAAAGAGGAGAGTGTAACACACATGAACATGTACTTTCTTGTAGACCTTCAGCATGCCAACTATTCTGGGGCCTTAGTCCCATGGCAAAAGCTGGCGTTTGGTACGGGACTAGGAACAATTTGCCTGAAATCCATGATCCTTTTATTTTTATCAGCAGGCAAAACATAAGGGCAAGCTCCAGTATATGACTTAGTCACTAAGGGAGAATTGATCTGCTCACTGGCCATTATCGAGAAGATGGAAAAGCCTAGGTGACCAAAAGCTGAAATGACCTGGAAATATCTCTGTAGGGCCAGAAAGAAAGCCACTAAGCCCTATACAAGTGGCGTTGGCGCAGGTGCTATCATTTATGAAGGCAGAGCCCCAGCTTTCCCCCTACACTCCATTATCCATACATGCTGGAGGCCTTTCATCAAGGTAACAGATGGCAGGGGTGGGCAGGCATATCTGGCAAGAATTATAAGGTTCACTAAGAAGTAATTTAAAAATGGTCCTGAAATTTCTTCAATTGGGTTCATGCCTCCATGAAGGGCTGATCCTGAAACTGGGAGCATGGAGGAACTATAAGCTGCATTGCTGGGCTCAGTTCCCTGGTCAGATAGGAATTTATTGAGGACATGGGAAATCTGATTCTTGAGAGATGATATTTGGACTATGGCAGTGTGTCTCACCAAAAAAAAAATTTTAAAAAAATCATGTAATATTCTTCACTGCTGGAGTGACTCTACTGTCTTGTCTTGAGTCAGCTGATTATTGCATTTTGCATGATTAGCAGTAAAAATCTTTTTAGTCCAAATATAACAGCAGCTAGATCTATAGTTTTTGTTCTCCCAACGTGCTTTGTTATCCTCCTTTTTCTGGTTTCTACCTCCTGCTCTGCTTTCCCTTTCATTTATCCCTTTCATTCAGGAGACCTTAGGAGGCATATTCAATTACAAGGTCAGTAGGATCCAGTTTTAGCCAGTCAGAGTATGCCAGTTCCCTGGCCATAGTGATTGGTTTAGCAAAAGTCATGTGACCCAAGCAGGACCAATCAAAGTCTTCCATGGGAACTTTTAGCTGGGCTAAAATGGAAAACTACTTAAAAAACAAACAAACTGTTTTAAGGTGGGGGTTGGGAAGCTACAAAACAGTCATGAGTTGCAAATTACAGCATAGGAAATATAGTCAGTAATATTGCAATGACTAAGAATGGTGCCAGGTGAGTTAGGGAATCATTTTATAAATTATGTGATTGTCTGACCACCATGCTGTACACCTGAAACTAATATAAAATAATATGAATGTGACCTGTACTTGAAAAAGAAAATAAAAAAGAAACTATTTAAAAATGTTTAAACATTTGCTAAAGCAGTGGGAATTATATGTAAACCTCTGTACAACAACACCCAACTTCAACATTTACCAACTCGCAAACAATCTTGAAAAAGGATAAACTGTCTTTTTCTACGGGGGCTGTTGGACCTAAGAGGACCGTGCTTCTCACAGGCATGATGTCTGTCAGTGACTGCTGCCCCTGTACTGATTTTGCTTAAGCAAAATGTAGGAGGATTTCTCTCACTTGCAAATGTGTTGTCTCATATAAAAATCTTACAGAAACACTCAGTGAATAATTTTTTTTTAAATCTTGTGTTTAGTTTTGAGGTATCTGGGAAACAGAAATTGGTGAAAAAAATCTTTGAGAGGAATAAGGAGAAGGGAAGCTCTAAACATATTAAGACAAATAAGATCACCAGCATTTTAACTTCACTTGGCTAAAGGATCACTTCAGTCTTATTGAAATAGCAGCTATCTACTAAAATATTTAAACTACATAACATAAATGTTAAGAGGTATAACGAAGGGTGGATATTTTCACCCTCAAAAAATTGATTGAGTCCTCAAACCCATTCAGAATCTGATTCTGAATTATCCTCAAAGGAGTGAATGAATGGATACAGTCACTCCTACATTAGCATTCTGGTATGCCATTCTTAGGTATGTAATGAACTATGTTCCTAGCTGTTCCTTCGCCATCCACTTCAGTAGGACAATATTTACATTTTTGCTTTGCCAGTTCCTGTCTTAGATCTTCATATACTTGTGAAAAGAGTTCCTCTTCAGATTTTGTCCCATCCAGGTAAACTGAAAAGGGAAAAAGAGAGCAAGTCAAATAAATGCTAACAGACTTATTAAGATAGCATGCTTACCTTGGCACCTGATATCTCTTGAAAATACCTAGTAGGTTTAACCAAAGAACTCAGGACCATAAAATAAAAATAAATGAATAGCCATTAGAGAGTGAAGTACATTATAGTCAGGAACAACAGGTAAAAATTTGTGGTTAATTATAGAGAAATGCACACTAGTTAATATAAACATTATTACTTTTTTTTTTTAATGGAAGAAGAAGAAAATAATTAAATGGCACTGAAGAGGTGTGTCCCTGAAAGAATCCTGTAAGGGAGTAGTTATCCCATTTACTGATGCATCAAGATTATCTGTGAAGCTTCTTGTACCATGTAGGGATGTAAGATATATAATATACTGAATCAGAATTCTTCAGGCCACATATATACTGAATCAGAATTCTTCAGGCCCAGAAGATATGTATTAAAAAACTATATATATATAACTTCAGAGAGGAAGGGAGAGATAGAAACATTAATGATGAAAGAGAATCATTGATCAGTTGCCTCCTGCATGCCCTCCACTGGGGATTGAGCCCTCAATCCAGATATATGCTCTAGTGGGGAATCAGCTGTGACCTCCTTGTTCATAGGTTGATGCTCAACTACTGAGCCATTCCAGCCGGACTCAGAAGATATATATTTTTAATGAAACTGGCATAGTAAGTCTTGGAGAAAAAGTAGAAGTTATGTATGTTACAGAAAGGAAAAGGCCTTCTAGTCAGAAACCTGCAGCGGTAGGGAGGTAGGAGAGAATTTTGCCTGTTAATAAGATGCACCATTAGGAAGGCCTAGAATGTGGGGAGGCAGAAACAGTGGAGATAGGAGGTTGTGGAACAAGGCTGTGCCTTTGCCGTTAGAGGCCTTGATGTCTGGCTGTGTGGGGGTTTTACCAGAGAGCTGGAGACTCTATGAAGATATCAAGCTAGACAGGGACATAGTTAGATTGGCATTTTAGAGGGAGAGGGAGAGAGGAACAGTGAGAAGAGGACGCTCCTGTAACCATGTCCAAACTGGAAGTGCTGTGGCTAGAACCCCAGCAGCGGCCCTGTGGATGGGGAGAAGGGGTTGAACTTGACTGAAGAAGAGATTATAACGGCCACCAGACCAGGGGGGAGGCTCCATGCGCTTTCTGCACGGTTCAGACATAGCCCCCTGGAGGCCACGGAGCTTCTCCCAACATGGGCAGCTCCCTTTATTCTGAAAAGTATGCATCAGTTCTGCTTCTGTTCCAACTAAGAGCCTTCTCCCTGCCCCCCGCCCCCCCCCCCCCCCCGGGCTTCCTGTAGTTTCTCCGTGTGGAGCCCTGTATTCCAGAGGTCTGTTCTGAGCCTGGGCTCATCGATTCAGATGTGTACCCCCAAATCGCCACTTTATGCCTCTCAGGTATCTTAACTTGTGCAAAAACAGACTTGCATTCTTACCTTCCAAACCTGCAACTCCTTCACTTATTTCTGTTTTCCAAAACAGTACCTGCCAGGTTCCAAGGTATTATCCTCGACACCTTGATTTCCTGGACCCACCGTATCTACACTACCATCCAGTTCTATTGAGCACACGTGCCCGATATTGCATCCTCTACACCGAGCCTCCACATGGCCAGCGAGATCTTACTAAACAAGAATCTGGTATCTAACGTGTCCTTGTTTAAACCTGTCTGTAGAGGGCTTCCTACTTTTACTGGGATAATGACCCACGTCCTTAACTGGCCTGTGGCCTTGTAGGGTTAGGATCTTTCCTGTATTACCAGCAGCACTTCTGGTCCTTGGTTTTTCTCTCCACAAATACACCAACCTTCTTCCAGATGCTGATCATTCTTTCCAGCCCCCTGGCCCTTTCCATGTATCACACCCACTGCCTAGGGTGATCTTCCATCCCAGCATTCTTCCCTTTCTCCAGTTAACCCTGTCAGAGCACAGCTGGCATGTGGCTGGATCCCTGGGACATAGGCAGTGCCCTAAGAGCTTGTTGTCACAGCACTTGGCACAGCTGGAAAGAGCATGCTCAGGTAGCTAGTTTAACGTTTGCTTCCGTAGTAGAATGTTGGCTCATGAGAAGATGGACAGGATCTGCCTTATTTCCCTTGATATATATATCACCAGGACAATATGTGTACATTGAAAACATTCAATCCATATTGATTGAACAAACGACCTCCTAGAAATTGCCAAGCTATTCACAAGAGCCATAAAGAGATAAGCAGAAGCCGGGAGAGCCTGTTGTGGAAGACGGGAGCCCAGAGTGCTGCAGAGTAAAGTTTCCTTTATAACATAACACACACATAAGAAACACGCCTTCTGCTGAAATCGGTTTGGCTCAGTGGACAGAGCGTCAGGTCTATCCACTGAGACCTGAAAGGTCTCAGGTTTGATTCCGGCCAAGGGCATGTACCTTGGTTGGGCATGTACCAGACTGAAAGGTCTCAGGTTCGATTCCGGTCAAGGGCATGCACCTTGGTTGCGGGCACATCCCCAGTGTGTGGTATGCGAGAGGCAGCTGATTGATGATTCTCTCTCATCGATGTTTCTAGCTCTCTATCGCTCTCTCTTCCTCTCTGTAAAAAAAATCAATTATATTAAAAAAAAGAAAAAAAAAAAAAAAAGAGAAAACATGTCTTCTGAATTTTGTGTACTTTCTGGCAATGATAGCTTAAAAGGTCTCCCGTGGAGAGAGCAAGGGCACTTACCAATCTCCTCAATGCTCTCTATTTCTCCTCGGTGCTTTAGATACATGGGCCACACGTGGCCATCGAAGTACCCCTCAGGGTCCGGAGGCTCATACACCCTCATGCTGTCAAAACAGGTGGGAAACTTCATGTTGATAGAAACACACGTTGACAAAGTAAAATAGTAACGGCCAGGATAATTAAAAAAAAAAAAATCACTGAGATCGCATCTAAACAGGATTAAAACTATACATTTTAGACTCAATGCCAGTTACAGAGACAATAAAATGAATTTAGTTCGCTCATCCAAAAGTTAATCTCCTAATTCACTATAATTTATATTAGCTTTCCCCCACTCTAGGTTTTTATAAAATAATTAAGAGATAAATACCAATGTAAATAATGATAGAAATACTGATATGCAGGAGTGAGCTTTAAACTAATTGGTGTTCTTTGTGGCTATAGCAGAATCTAGTTTGAAATCATAATCAGCATGGAATTATTTCATTTGAAGATTAAGGAGAAATCAGCCAAATAGCTCCTACAGGGCCTTTTCTTAGAAAAGTAATTTGTATTTGTCCACGTGGATGATTATTTATGGAAAAAGGCTTTGCTTATTGTGTAAAAGAGCTGAGGCTTCCCTTGTTTGAAAAAAATGACATATACATATTGCACAATAATGTTGCTGTCCTCATTCTTTTTTTTATAAATTCTGTCTTTTGAATCATCATGTACAAAGGCAATTTTAAAACTTACCTCCTCCTCCTCTTACATTCTTCATATGGAATGGTCAGAAAGTATCTTCTATTCCATATAGTCTCAAGGGGCCTAAGATAACGGCATATTTAGTTCACAGGAACTTCCTCCCATTCATTCAGAGCCAATATCTGAGTGAGGATGCTTACTTATAATTAAAGAGAAGGAAGCCTTCGATGATTAATATGGGAACTTCCTCGGCGTTTCTCCAGGCTGTTGATACCGGAGAGTGTCTTGGGCTTTTCATCCAGCAAGAAACGGCGGACATCATTTTTTCCATGTTAAGCGCTTCAAGCACTTCAAACAACATACAAAAATGAGAAATCAGTACCAAAAAAGTGTTATGATGCAGGATATGAGTATATCCTGGGCTTGCTAAATATATCAAACAACATTATTCACTCTTCAAAAAACAGAATAACAAACCTTTTAGATACTTTTAAACCCTAATATTGATAAATTGGTATGTTTGAAACATTTTTATTATGGGAACTTTGATACACATACAAAAGTAGAGAGTAAAAAGTACAATGAACTTCCATGTTCTCATGAGCAGCTTTGACAGTGATAAACTCATGGCTAATCTTGCTTTATTTATAACTTCTACTATCGCGACTGCATAAAAGTCTAACATTTTTGGATGACAAAATATTTACAAATTAGTTTGAAAGATATATGACGCACTGAGGAAAATATCTAGTGTATATGGTAAAAAACTGATACATTTTTAATATTTTATTGATTTTTTTATAGAGAAGAAGGGTGAGGGATAGAGAGTGAGAAACATCAATCAGCTGCCTCCTGCACACCTCCTACTGGGGATGTGCCTGCAACCAAGGTACATGCCCTTGACTGGAATTGAACCCGGAACTTTTCAGTCCGCAGGCCGACGCTCTACCCACTGAGCCAAACCTGTTAGGGCAGAACTAATATTTTCAATATATAAAAAGCTCTTACAATAAACAAGAGGAAAACCATTAAAACTTTTGCAAAGAACACAAATATGTCATTTTCAAATACTAAAATGAGCATTCTTTCTGAGCTTTTGTGTTATAAAAATGATTTTGAAAGTGTGGTACCTTGACCAGCAGCCTCAGCATGACCTGGGAATTTACTAGGAAGGCAAATTCTGCGTCTCACTCAGAAGTACTGAATTGAGTCATTTGGGCTTAGAGGTTTTTAAATTAATTAATCCTTAATTTATTGAATAGATATAAGGCTACTAAGATTTTTCTCTGTTCTGGTGTTACTAAGTGTACCGGTTAATAATGTAGATTTTTAAAACTAAATGGAGTTACACATATGTTGATATATATGCAATTTGATATGAATGTTATTTTGTTGTATTGCTCCTTCAGATTACCACTTGGTCCGATCGATGACACATGCACTTTCTGAGCAGCACTTCAAAACATATGAAGTGGAAAACTGGGTCTCTGAATGGTTTGCCTCAAAACAAGAAAAGTTCTATTGGGACGGTATCCACAAATTACCTGAAAGATGGAGGAAATGTGTAGCTAGAGATGGACATTACTTTGGATAAAGCACTTTTGATGTTTCTCTTGAAATTATTGTATTTTCTTTTATTATAAAATTCGCATTAACCGATTAATAATGTGGATTGCCTATTAACTAGTTTAATGATGCAGATTACATATTAGCTGGTTAATAAGGCAGATTAACTGGTTAATAATATGGATTGTCTACTAACCTGGATGAACCCATGATTTTGTGCATTTGGGATTCTCAAAATTAATCCACTTTTCATCAACAGTCACAATTTGATGGCAAAAAAATTTTCTTTTGAGCTGTTGAAGCAACATTTTACGGTTTTCCATTTGTCTTTCATTCAGTTGATGTGGCACCCATTTTCCTTCCTTTAAAATCTTTCAAATTGCTTGGAAACAATTGGAAATAGTTTGCTGAGCAACATTTAATCTTTCTGCAAGTTGTTTCTGAGTTTGACATGCATCTTCATCCAATAATGCTTGTAATTGTTGGTCTTCAAACTTTTTTCGGTTGATCCGGATGTTCTTTGTCTTTCACATCGAAATAATCACTTTTAAAGCGTTTAAACCAGCGTTCACAAGTGTTTTGAGATGGAGCATGTTCACCCTAAGCTTCCCGAAGTATATAATAAATTTCAGCAGCACTTTTCTTTAAAATAAAGTAATTAATTAAAACTTGCCACAAATGCTCTTTTTTTGGGACACAAAACTTGATATTTTTAAGTGTAAAAATATCTATGATATCAACACCTTCAGCAAATTTGACATATGAAATTGTGAAGCTTGCTGTCAATATAACAAAATAGCATGCATATCAAATCATATATACAATAACTCCATCTATTGAAAAAAATCCACATTATTAACCAGTACACCTAGTAGTCTCGGCAAGTTATATTTTTCTGGGAAATAGTAAATTTCACTTGTTTTCTAATATATTCACATAAGTTGTTTATAACACCTTTTAATGTAGGTAGCATCTCTAATGCTATTATTTTTGTTTTTGGTATTTGTAATTTGTCCCTTTCCTGTTTTTTGTTGTTGTTTTGTTTTTTATTTTTAATCGTAACCTGAGAATATTTTTCCATTGATCGTTAGAGAGAGGGTAAGAGAGAGGTTCTTAAGCCTATTCAGTCTCCTTCTCCTTCTCCTTCTTCTTTTGCAGGTAGTCACCTGTTTAGATGTTGATTGCCCAGATGAGGGGATGTTTGGCTTCCTGCTGAGCCTCACTGATACTTAGGATGGGAGGGATTGCCATGAAGGGAGAAAGGGAAAATTAATGTGCTGGTGTGGCTTCATTGCTTTCCAGCAATGGGTCAAGTTCAGCTCTCTACTGAGTTCTGCTGATAGTAGCTGACTATCTGGGCGGAAAAAAAAAATGTGGAGTACAACTAGCACCACCTCACACAACCTCATCCTGCCGCTTTGCTGGAGGTGGGGGTGGACGTTCAGTCACCATTTTGTTCCACTGATAGGATCCCTATGGATGACACGGAGGGTCAACTTACCCCACCTGACTAGTGTGATGGGTTCAGAAGTCTTGCTCCCCACTTGGCCCTGCTAACATCATGAGGGGAAAGTGGTGTGTGTGTTTTTCCTTTGGCTTGAGTAGGGTGGATATTGCAAAAATGATTTTCTATTCTGCTAGGACATCCTTTCCTGGTTTGTTTGGTTGTTTGTTGTTTGTATCTATTGATGGTTCCATGTTGCACACTTCTCCAGCACCCCTTCTAGAATGTACAAGAGGAAAAAAGGAAACGCTGGTAATTCACAACCATGTTATTCCTCAAGGCCTGAAGTCCCTAGTCCGACTGCTCTCTTCTTTTCATCCTTCAGAGTCTTTCTGTTGTTTGCTGTATTTCATCCAGGGATTTTAGTAAGAGGAAGAAATAGTTAGGAATGGGGCCAATCCATTTTGGCTGGATCCAGAAATAATGTTAGTATTAATATATTTTCATTTTTATTCAATTAAAAAATCTTTTCTAATTTTCATTATGATTTATTCTTTAAGTCATGGGATGTAGAAGTGTTTTTGCTTCAGATAAAATGGATGATGTCTGGGAGTTGCTTCAAAATAACATAGGAGAAAGTGAGTGAGGATCTAGATAAAATATAATTGGCCAAGAGTTCATCATTTTAAAATATATTTTATTGATTTTTTACAGAGAGAAAGGGAGAGAGATAGAGAGCTAGAAACGTCGATGAGAGAGAAACATCGACCAGCTGCCTCTTGCACCGGGGATGTGCCCGCAACCAATGTACATGCCCTTGACCAGAATCGAACCCGGGACCTTTCAGTCCACAGACCGACGCTCTACCGCTGAGCCAAACCGGTTTCAGCAAGAGTTAATCATTTTTAAAGCTGGATGTTGAACTCATGAGAGTTTATTATACTTTCTTTCCTACTTTTGTATATATTTAAAATTTTCTCTTAGAAAAAGTTTTTACAGAGTCAAAGATATATGGAACAGACTGATAGCTGTCAGATGGGAAGGGGAGGGGGAGAACTGGTTGAAAGAAGGTGAAGGGATTAGCCAAAGAACATAGTTTGTGCATAACTCATAGACACAGAGAACTGTGTGGTGATGGCCACAGGGAAGGGGTTGGGGGCTAAGTGGAGGTGGGCAAAGAGGGGGTGGGGCGGGGACATCTATAGTAGTGTCAACAATAAAAATAAAGTCAATGTTTATTTTTAATCAGAAAAAAAGGGTACTGATTATTTTGCAATTACTTGGGACTTTACTTCCTCTTTAGTTATTGATTTCTAATTTCTAATTCAATGCTCTGTGATTGGAGGATGTCCCTGTACCTTTGAGGTTGACTTTTTATTGCATATTATCAATAATCTTTGCTCCTGTCAATAGCTTATTCACATCCTTGGACAATTGGGATATTAGTGTTTGTCTTATTAGTTTGTTAGAACTCATTTGAATTAGGCATAATCCTTCATCAATTGTTGAAAACAATGTTTCCTTGTTTAACTCTTTTAGTTTGTATAATCTTCCTTACTAACTTTTAGAAAAAGGGAAGAGAAGAAAAATTACCCTGACTGTAGCTCCAAGACACAAGAACAGAGAGCAACTCAAGGACTTTGCCTCTCTTACCGTGGTAAAACTATCATGTTTCTGTAAGAACTGACTACACAACATTTTACCTCCACGGTTATCAAAGTTAAAAATAACATATTTTATGTCTCTTCAAGATAATTCCCTAGTTTGGATAAGCTATCAATGATTATCCTGTTAATTATAAAAGTTGATAATACCATTAAATATAGTTTATTAGCATGACATTTTTTTTCCCCCTCATTGATTTTCAGGGAGAATGGAAGAGAGAGGGAAAGATAGAGAGAGAAACATCGATGTGAGAGAAACATATCAACTGGTTGCCTCCTGCATAAGCTCTGACCAGGGCCTGGGGCAGGGTACTGGCCCTTGTCTGGAATTGAACCAGGGACCCTTTGGTCCGAAGGCTGATGCTCTATCTGCTGAGGCAAACCGGCTAGGACATAGCATGACATTCTTTTTTTTCTTTTTAAAAAAATATATTTTATTGATTTTTTACAGAGGAGGAGAGAGCGATAGAGAGCTAGAAACGTCAATGAGAGAGAAACATCGACCAGCTGCTTCTTGCACACTTCCTACCAAGGATGTGCCTGCAACCAATGTACATGCCCTTGACCGGAATCGAACCTGGGACCTTTCAGTCCTCAGACCAACGCTCTACCCCTGAGCCAAACCGGTTTCGGCAGCATGACATTCTTTATAGGAAAGTAAACTTTTACTCCTGGACTTTAATCCTTTGGCTTCAAAGCTGTGTTAGATTGAGTAGAGGAGCGACATGAATCCATCTAAAAAAAATTTCATTATGGTTTTTGGTCAATGAAAAGAAAAAGAAAAAATCAACTGTCCAGATCACGTGGTTACTGGAAAGGAAAGCTCAGACGATGAGTACTTTAAGTTTGCCCCAGGTGAGACTGAGGGTAGGGAAGGGAAGTAGTTGGTTATATTCCCCAGGCAGGGATGACTAGAGTACCCACCTTGCCCTAGCTTCAGAAGAAAAAAATCCGTATCATTTCAATGTTTTCAGTTTTAAGTATAAAACTGGGGGAAATATTTCATTTTTAAAAATAGTTGAACAGCCTGGCAGGTATGGTTCAGTGGTTGAACATCGACATATGAACCAGGAGATCACAGTTCGGTTCCCTGTGAGGGCACATATCCTGTTGTGGGCTCAATCCCCAGTAGGGGGCATGCAGAAAGCAGCTGGTCAAATATTTTTCTCTCATCATTGATGTTCCTATCTCTCTCCCTTCTTCTCTGAAATCAAGAAAAATAAATAAAAATAGTTGAACATAAGTCAGAAACCTTTACAAAAGCATGTTCAAAGTACAGTGATATGTATTTAAACACACTTTGAGAATGTCTTCATAGATAGCACCCTATTTGGTTTTGAAAAAGAAAATGAACATTAGGATGTAATGTTTTCACAAGCTTACCATCGTACTGCAGAAATCCATTTTTATCTGTCTCTATCTCAGACGGTGGCTGAAAAAAATAATAAAGTGCCCATAAAAACTATGCAATGCAGAAATAATACAATTATACAACGAAGAGGCGAGAAACCTTTAATAAATGCATTGAATGAGGATAAATAAAATCAAGGAACAGCCGTGATAGTGGTGCCATCTAGTGGATAAGTAACACTACTGCATTGACTCTACCTTCACTACAAGAACTTTTATCACAAAATAAAGGCTTTTTGGATGTAATACAATAAACTTTGCTACTAAAACTTCTTTTGTGTTAAATAAGTTACCTAAGAAGTTTTAAAGATACCTTAAAGAAATCATCCTGAGAGATGACACTGCAGTTTGGGAGATGTTTTTGCAATTTTTTAGCCAGTGTTGTCTTCCCACCATTTGTCACACTGAACCAAAAAAAAAAAAAGAGAGAGAGAAACTTTGTAAAAATATTGAAAGAACCAAGAAGAAAGTTACATTAAAAAACATACAACATTAAAAAATATCTTAGAAAAAGAACATTTAAAACAATATCTAATATCAAAGAAAATTTATTTCTTTTATAGATAATGTTTTTCTGTGGGGAAAACCAAGGCATAAGTAAACGGTGCAATAAATTGTAAGAAATAAGCTGGGACTTACGTCCAGCTTTGGACATATGGAGCCCAGCCAGTGTTGCTCAGTGGTTGAGCATCAACCTATGAACCAGAAGGTCACAGTTTGATTCCCTGTGAGGGCACATGTCCAGCATGTGGGCTTGATTCCCAATAGGAGGCACGCAGGAGACAACTGATCAATGGTTCTCTCTCATTATTGACATTTCTATCTCTCTCTCCCTTTCCTTTACCTCTGAAATCAATAAAAATATATTCTCAAAAAAAGAAATGAGCTGGGAAGGATTGATGAGAAAGGTAACTAACTACTGGGCAAATGAATTGGGTGATACCAAGACTAAATACTAAAAATACGGCTATTGTGTTGGAAACAAAAGAACTTTTTTGTCTATGGTGAAACAGCCAGAGGGTTCACGTGCAACACAGAATATGAGCAGCATATTTCAATGCAAAGAGCTAAAACTACAAATCTTTTTCAATGCACAGTGGAGAAAAATGGAGGCGTGGCCTTGCCTTTGGTATAAAAAAATAAATGATAAAGTTGCTTATTGCCGCTCCTTTTTTTCTGTTTACAAGGAAACTCTCCCATCAAATGCCAGTGCTCCATGTTGCATTTGATGCTGGCCTGTTCTCCAGGACTCAGGAATCCTCACTGCTTCTCCTTCCCCATCACGTCCACATGAAAACACCCCTTGGACATCCTGAGTGCCTTGACCAGCTGTGTGTAGCAAAATTACTCACCCACCAATCCCAATGACAAATTTTTTCATAATTAGCTTTGAAAATGTCTTCTGAAATTTCCTAAAAAAAAAAAAAAAGGAATGCTTATCGTTTAGACGTCTGAAGAGGTAAAAGAAAGAGTCCTACATTAGGAGGGCCAGCTGAGGGAGGGAGATGGCACAGCCCTGGACTGTCCACATTCTGTGCAGGAGCTTCACATGGTATAGGCATGCCCTGGAGATACGTGGGTTCAGTTCCAGACCACCCTGTAACAGAGGGAGTCAGAATCTTTTTGCTGGTGGAGGGTCTTGACTTCAATTTATAAAAACAAACAAACAAAACACACACACACACACACACACACACCACACACACCACACACACACACACACACAAAACAAAAACAACCCCCCCCAAAACAAACAAACAAAAAAAAAACATGCAACGTCTGTAAAGCGCGGTAAAAGGTGGTATGCCTGGGCTGGCTTCTCTCTGCTACACTCCCCTGCTAAGTGTCAACAGATGGTGCGTGCCCTAGTCAAGTGAACTGAAAGGGCCCGAGACAAAGTAGACACCCTTGAAAGTGTGTTTTCAAGGCTGTGGAAGAGCTGCCAGGTTGCAGAGCACCCTACAGTTTTACACCCTATCGGCCTATCCCTGAGCTAGGTCGCCCTTTCCCTGCTGGACTCAATCACTTGGAAATGATTCATTTCCCCCACGTGGGAACCACAGAGCTTCTCTCTGTCTCCCTCTTCCCTCTCTGTGCCCTCTGGGTTCAGGGCACCATTTCCCCACCCAGAAGCCTCGGTCTAAGGCTAGGGTAGATACATTTTTTTTTCAGAAATGGGATAGGCAGTACATATTATAGGCTTTGTGGGTAAAGAGGCGAAATCCAGGCTATTATGTAAGCATTTATATAAGAGATAAAACCAATTTCCACTATGTTTTTGATAACAGTCTAAACATAATAATAATTGAGTACAACTGTTTCTGGGTAATACATGTCTACTAATGAGAAGATAACATTTCCCTAACTGGATTTGCAAGTTTGTGTTCCCTATCTGAAAACAGATGGCAAATGTTGAAGCAGAGGGTCAGGTTTTAGGCACAAGACCACTGTCTGCTGACCCCTGGCAGTTTCACACATGGCCATCTAAGGTTCATCACAGCAGCCCCTTCCAATGGGCCAGCTTCACCTTTTTAAGTGAAAGGGTAAAGTCAGCGGAGGGAGCCTCAGAAAGCGGCTCTTTATCCCTGATGCTGTGCGTGGCTCACCAGGAATCTAAGCTGTGCTGTTCATGGAGGGTGGCCCCTGCGCTGGGGTTCCCAGTAACCCTCCCACGTCCTACCTCTGACCTGTGTCCAGACGTCCCCTGGGGAGAGGTGGTGGGGAGAAGAGCCTGGTGTAGAGGGGTAGCTGCTCCTTGGCGTCTGCCCAGCTTACCCAGAATATTCCAAACTGGGAGCAAGAGCTTACGGTTCGGTCCCACTTTCACTAACATGCCTGTGTGGGACAAGAATTCAATAATGACGATACTAACATTATAATAACACGACACGCTGGGCATCTGAGTTTCACCAGGAGTTGCACTGTTGCCTGTATCTCCCACCCAAATTGACAATGCATGTCAAGGGACCAATTACATACAATGAGTACTGTCAATTTCTATGCTGTCATTGTCTGTGTAAGAAACGGCCAACTCCGTAGACTTGTCCGAGTTCGTTTGAGCCAAACTGACAATTGCTGGGAAGCAAAATTTCAACGGATTGAACCAACGCTCTGGAGAATGGCAGTTTTGCTGCTTATTTTATACATTAGAAACAGAGGAAGAGACAGAAGGGGGAAATTACATGAAGTTCACTGGGGCTAGATTAGGGAGGTGGGAGAAAGCAAAAAACGGGAAATCTCCGAGATTGGACAAAGAACAAAACAGAGAGTCACTTCTTTTACACTGGTGGGTACAGGGTAGTTAACCATGAACATTCACGGCACACCACAGAGATGGCATTTGGGGAACAAGTTAACAGTGAGGGGTTGTGTGATATTATGCCCTGGTGTGAGGGGTCCGGAAAGAGGAGATGACGCTGACATCCCAAGGATTTGTTATCTTAGATGCAAAAAGACAAGTCAGACTTACTTAAGGTAAAACTTGACCCTTTCTTTGTCGAGAAAGCTCCAGGCCCAGGAGGTGACTACCTGCTGTGACTAGCTTTTAGTCAGGAATACTGATGTTCTGACCGTCCCCTGTGGTTCCTTCCAGACACGGGCCTCCCTGGAGCTTGTCAGGCTTAGTGTGTGGCCCCTTTTTGTCCACATGATTTTTCTACTTTTGGGTTAAGTTTTACCCTATTCTTATTTTTAATATGCCAGTGCGAGGGTGGCAACTATTTTTTGGGAAGAGAAGGCCGCCCTTTATCTCGAGTGGGTACCTTTCTTACTTTTTTGTTGATAAACGTTGTTTCTTGTGCAAAAGGAGTTCACTAGTTCACTTAGCCAACTCCTTCATTTTGCAGTTGCAATTGGCCCAGAAAATGCAGTGACTTGCCCAAGGTAACACAGCTGGTGTGTGTAGGAAAAGTGAGAAACAAAATCAGATCTCCCTTTAAGCTGCTAAGAAGCATTTTGTTACCAAGAGCACAGAAGAGGTGGTGCACGTGTGCAGGCTTGTGAGGCTCTCATGTATGATTGATGCCCTTTTTCTTGATGTATTATTGATGGGTGTGTGTTCTCTCTGCATACTACAGGGCAAGGACTGCTGGTCCCTGTGCTTCTTGCCACATTTGTGCACGCACAGTAGGATTCCGTACCAATGACATAGCATGCAAGTAATGAGTGTGGTTGTGGCCCTGCAAAAAGGCTTGAGGGGTTATTTGGGTGAGAACTCTAGCAATTCAGAAATCACGTGTGAGAGAGACAGTAAAAAACCTACTATTATACTAAATCCTCTGGGGCTCAGGAGGGAACTCCCCCAGTCCAATGCAAGTCCAAAACAGGAACCCTCAGTTCTGTATTAGTAGTCTTAGCCTGTCCAAGTCAGTGCTTAGGCAAATGTTGGAGGTACAGGCTGGTTTGGTTCAGTGGATAGAGCGTTGGCCTGGAGACTCAAGGGTCCCAAGTTCATTCCGGTCAGGGGCATGCATCTTGGTTGAGGGCACATACCCAGTAGGAAGTGTGCAGGAGGCAGCTGATCAATGTTTCTCTTTCATCGATGTTTCTGGCTCTCTATCCCTTTTCCTCCCTCTCTGTAAAAAAAATCAATAAAATATATTAAAAAAAAATGTTGGGGGTACAGTCCATTAGCAATGAACAGATGACAATGTGGTGGGAAGGGTTGGGAACTGGAAGCAGCAGAAGCAAGACTTGGGCTGGGATGAGTAGCTGGGGTGGTAGCGTGTGTAAAAATCCCAGAAGCCATTTGTTTCAAACAGTGTCCGATGCACAGGGCAGCTTTGGGTGGTTTCTAAGTTCGGGCCTGGCTCTGTCCACCTCACACCAGGTTCTCTTATTTCACTGCCCGTAGCCCTCTTTAAGAACTATTTTAAAATCACATTTCAAAAAGCTTTCAGTCAAGAGGTGCCAGTCTCAATACGGTATGTACATGTAGCAGCGCCTCCACAAAGCAAACAAATTTGATCAACTACACACAGTGAATCACTGAATGTCTCCAGCGAGACAACCATTTGGACTTTCCAGCCTCATCAGCGCAGGGCATCCGATTACTAGGAATATAATCACCCCCAATCTCATGGGATATTAATGTACTTGATTCTCCCAGTAAGTGCAAAGCTTTCCCCGGCAGCACAGAGCATTTGCATGGGGGGTAGGAGAAGCGACTAAGCTATCCATGAGCAAACCCAAAATAAGTCATTTTAATTACTTTCTTTTACCCTAAGTAAAATATATTGTTGAGTCCTTTTTTTTCTTCATAGCTAGTGTTTATAACATTTCATTTATTTCACTACTAGGGCTGGTACATTTTAGATTCCAAACTGCAAAATGGTCAGAGGTGGCATGTGCAGAATCAGCAGGTTATAAGGAAATAGCAACTCCCTAACACAAACGGTTCAAAAGACCGACAATATGCAAACGAAATGTTCTTGCTTTCCCAGGTATTGAAAAGAGCAATTTGGCTAAAGTTCCTGAATATGCAAAAGATTTCCCTTTCCCTGGGAATCACTCCATCTTTCACTAATCCCTGGGATAAGTTTTGAAACTTCGTTTTACATCGAGTCTCACGTAGAAAGCTTTTCTTTCTCTTCCACTTTTCTCCCCCCATACACACAGCTGGTGTGTAATACCGACTGTGCCATTTTGAACTTATAAACGCTGCATTTCGTGTGTGCTCCCATTGACGATTCAGTTTGCTGGGTGATGGGTGGGCAAAGCTTTGTCAAATGCTTCATAGAGTATGTTTCCCACTTTGCGGGCAGCTCTCATGGGGTGAAAGCGGCCACAGGCGGCGTCCCTAACACTTTATGGGCACTGGAATGAGTCTTGACTTTTATGTAATTTTCACGTGCCACAAAACATTTCCTTTGACCTCTTTTCAGCCATATACACATGTGAAAACCGTTCTTGGTTAGCAGGCCTTGCGATACCAGGAGGCAGGGGGTGGTAGAGTTAGCCAACCCCAATGCCAGAGGATTCAAGACCTGGTCTTGTCCCCGATTACTCCCCCCCCCCCCCCCAATCTGGACGACCTGTGGGAGGCAGACTCCCCATTTCAAGGACCATTGCGGGGCGTCCAAGCACTAAGTCAGCACGAGCGCCCGCGGCTGGCTACCTATCGGCCCGTCTATAGGGGGTAACCTAGGGGGTAAGAGTCCCAATGGGACTTGCAAGACGCAGCGGGATTCGGGCTCCAGCAGAGGAGCACTCTGGGGGGCACTTCCAGGCCCCGCGGGGCCAGGCAGGTACTCACCCGGACTTCCTAGTCCTCCCGGGCCGAGCCGCAGAGACAGCGGCCCTGCGCGCCAGTCACTAACCCAGACGCCCAAGGCCCCCGCCCCGCGGCGCTCCCCGCCCCTGCGCCCCTCCCACCGCGCCCCTCCCGGGTCGGAGGCGGCCCAGGTAGAGGTCATTAACGGAGGGGTCAGCCCACCCCGCGGGGCGCCGGCCGCAGACCCCGTAGGGCGGGGCCGGGCTCTTGGTGAGCGTGGCTCTGCGCGCGCCCCGGCAGGTCCAGCCCGCTCGTCAGGGGCGCGCGCCCGCTGCGCCCAGGCCAGGCTCCGCCGCCGCCCGCGCCCCCGCCGCCCGCGCCCCCGCGCCCGCGCCGCCCGCGCCCCCGCCGCCCGCGCCCCCGCCGCCCGCGCCCCCGCCGCCCGCGCCCCCGCCGCCCGCGCCCCCGCCGCCCGCGCCCCCGCCGCCCGCGCCCCCGCCGCCCGCGCCCCCGCGCCGCCCGCGGCCCGGGAGCCAATCAGCGCTCGGCGAGGCGGCGGCCACTTCCTCGTCGGCCGGGCGCGCGCTCCGGACGGCTGGGCGGCCGCGGGGCGGGGCGGGGACTGCGCCGGGAGCCCCTGTGCCTGCGTCCGCCGGTCCCGCAGCCCAGGTGGCTCAGTGGATAGAGCGTTGGCGCGGGTGCTCCAGGGCGCACCGCCGCGCACCGGGCAGAACCCAGGACCTCGGGCTTCCCGGAGGAGAGCCGGCTGGTGGCGGGGCGCGTTCGCTGGGCTTTTCGTGCGTCGTCGTCTTGAGGATCAGCTGCTCCAGGAAGCGAGATGGCGAAGCCGCCACCCAAACCGGTCAAACCAGGTAAGGGAGGCGCCGGCCGGGCCCTCTGGCCGCCCCGGTGCCCGGCGAGCGTTCTCTGCCCCGGGGCAGCGCGGACCCGGCGCGGACCCGGCCCGGAGCCTCGCTCCCCGGATCCCACCCACCGGGAGGGGAGTTTGCGCTCGCTAAAGGGGAGGGATCGTTTTTTTTTTTTTTTTTTTTTTTTTTTTTTTTTTTTTTTTGAAGAGCAAGAGGATTTCGAAGATTTTTTTTTAAAAAGTGTATTTTTTAAAAAGTGCTGTCGCCCTCGGTTCTACAACATGAACATTCTCTGCGACTTCCAAGCGGGTGTGATGGCTTCGCCCCATGGAAACTTTCCTGGAGGACAGGGCTATTGGTCTCTAAAAAAAAAAAAAAAGAAAGAAATTAAGTAAATGTCTTGAAATTGGGCTTGTAGCCACTTCCCTTTTTTTTTTTCTTTTCAGTGTGTGTCACTGTCAAGTTAGAGTTCTTGACCGGCCGGAGAGAACAGGAAGTGCGCTGCTTGCAGGGTGGGGTGCGTGAGCGAGGCTCCTTCGGGACTTTTGAAAGGAACAGCGTTTGAAATTGATCTCGGCATCTTGGGGGGAAACACACACACACACACACACACACACACACACACACACACACACACACACACTTAGGAAACTTGTGCTCGAGTTCATGGCGAGAACCATCGCGGCTGCGGCAGAGGAATCTCGGCGTTAACTCCGGGAAGTGTCACTTTATCGTGCAGCGCCAGTCCTTCCCTCCGCTGCCCCCGTGGTTTGGCCTTCTGCACCGGAGAGGGCGAGATTACTAAATCCCTCAACGCCGTTTTCTTGGCCTATCGTCCTGGTTCTTTCTTTCTTCTTCTTTTTTTTTTTACTTTAGAATATTTTCTGCGATAGGGAGAAAAGAGAATTTATAAGGAAGGGTCTGGTGTATTTCAGATCAGTTCTGCTTAACACACTTTCCCACGTTCATTTGGTAAGTGATTATGGGGAACGCAGGAAACAGAAAATAAATGGCCCTGACCTACTCAGGTTTCTCCCCCCTCCCCATCTCATGGAACTTCGGTAGAGCATAGGCTGAAAAAAAATATCCATTTACATTTCAGAGTAACCTCTGTTGCAAGGCATAGAGTTTCAGTGATTAATTTTTCCTTGATTTTTTTGGGTAAACTTTAGTGAAGTGCTAGAACTTGCACGATTATTAAGTTTTCTTTCTTTGCCCACATGCATGGTTAGTGTCAAGTCATTTGATTTGAAAATGTTGTACATATTCACATATGTGGAATGGTGATTCACTGGAGACTTAAATTTCTGTGGGCGGGTGTGGAGAAAGCTGCTGGGACTTTGGCGCTGCTGTGAGAATTGGGCTCTGTGATTCTTTAGATGTGGAATCTGGTGAGGAATCTGCATTTTAAGTAAATATGTAGGAGGTGGCCGCTTTCTAAACTCAGATGTGAATCATGACCATAAGTATTCAACAAAGCATAGTTATTATTTGATAGCTAAATAAGGTACTGTATTTTAAAGAATGTCTTGAGAAGCTATTCATGAGGGTGTTTTTTTTTTTTTTTTTTTAATATCTTCAGACATGAAGTGATGTCTTTGCTGCAGCTGGAAGGACATGGGATGTGATGTGTATGTGTGTGCGCGCGAGTGTGGACTTATGCACACATGGGTGTGGTTTAAGGACCATAATGTTCCCAGTTGGGGATAAACTCCCAGGAATCATTTTTGTTGTCTAGCATCACTGCTTTTGCCTCTTCAGCAATCCAGAAAGCAAGTGGTTGAAAATGACCGTTGTTGAGAGACAGCTGGGATTCCTCACACATTTATAAATCACATCCCAACTCAAATAAGGTCACCATAGAAATAAGGTCCCTCTAGCTTTCTGCAAAGCAAGAACCGGGCGGAACAGCATGGCTCAGTTCATCGGCAATATGAGAAGAGGACAGCTAGGTGAGAGAGGACAAAGGACTTATTGGAAAGTTTTGGGAGTAAGGAACATTAAGCTTTTTATCACGTGGGCTAAAGTATCTATCAGGTTGATTGGCAATATCCTATGAGAGGGTCCAGTCAAAGGAGGCTGCCCAGACCAATGCTGGTCAGCTGCTTGTAGGAAAGCCCTGCCACTTAATTCCTTTTTCATTTTCTTAATTTCCTCCCTAAGGCTACACCAAGGGTCACCTTGTTTGGGGTTTTGTCCACAATCAAAATTCATTTGCCAAAAGCACTTCTTAATGTACGTAAGCTCTGTGCTAGACACCAGGATTCCAAGGAACAATGAAATAGGTTCTCATTCATGAGAGTGTTGAGTCTAATGGGAGAGGTTTACATATGTACGATTAATTTTAGGTTGTTCCTACAAGTGAGTGGCTGATTTGTTCATTTTGTTTTAAAAAAAATCTTGTAGTTAAAAATAAAAGTAATATTTTTATTATTAAACCTTCAGAAAACAATAAATATATAAAAACCATCCCTACTTATCATCTGGTGATAACCGCTGTTTTTACCCAGGTTTTTTTTTTCTTTCTATTTTTTCCTTTTTCAAATCCATTTCAATGGAAACAGAAGATACAAACAGTTATTCCCAGGACAGAATCAGATTCCATTTTAAGTGCCTTGCTGTCGACTGCCATGTTTCCTCTATGCTCTACAGTATCACCTACCCTCTGCTTGAAAAATCAATTCTGACACATTTTCACCTTCCCTTGTTTAGTGGTGTTTTTATTCACTGCTGGCCACCCCAGCAGGTCTCTAATTATTAGATGTGTCACTATGGTACTCCCTCTGCTAAAACGTGTCACAGTTTTGTGGTTTATCGCATTCCTTATGGACTCCTCTGTACCTTCTACTGTTTCTGCTCCCTTCAGCCTCCCTCTGGAGCCTCGCAGTTAAATTAGGGTGAACCGGTCCTGCTTGTTGGAGTGGAGAAAATGGCTTATGTTCTCACAAAGCCTTTTTTTTTTTTTTTTTTTTTTTTTTTTAAAGAGACTATTCTGAGACTTGATGTAAAATGGGCCAAGGACTATTGAATGAGATGTGGCTACAGTCCTTGCATTCAAAGCAGCTTTGATGACCCTCCACTGTAGCTGGAAGTATTGATTTTGATGGTGGAAGTAAAGCAGCATAAATATTTCACGTGTCTTCTGAAAATAATTTTGCGGGACATTGAAGAAGCAAATGGCAATGTTTTGGGTTTTGTATACACAGTACAAAAGAAAATTCAAGGATGTCACACATATGCTGCTTATATAACACCACTGAGCGGGAAAAGGTCTTCCTCCAAAACCATCTGAACTTTCATATATTTTTTTCCCCCTCTTAATAGATAAATGTCAGAGGTGCTCCATTATAAAGGTTAAGAAATGCCTTGAAAATGACAGGATGATGATGATCATGATGATGGTAGTGGTAGTGGTGGTGGTAATAGTTAACATTTATTCCTAAGTGTCAGGAATTGTGCCAGGAACTTTAAATGCCCCATCTCATTTGATTATCTTAGCTTCCCTAACAGGGAGATCCTAATAGAAAACTATTTGAGGTCTCAAAGGTAGGAAGTGGTTGGTTTGACCCAGGAATGGAACGCAAGCCTTAACTGGAGTCACTGCATTTTGCTCAGAGAAACCTGTGAGGATTCTGTTAGATGGGACGAGGTTTTGTTGGGCAGCCATCCTTATTAACTTACGCAATTGTATTTTTCATATTGGCTTCGTATCACCCCTCTTTCAATAGGTCTGTATTAGACTATTAGATACTTTCCGAGAATAGAATAATCTTTTATTTTTTTGTACCGGCATAGCAACTAAACTTTTTATGCATGACACACATAAAAAGTCTTGATACATAATGAAGTCTTTGTCTGGAAGAAGGTGAGGGAGACTGTGGTTGGGTACATCTTGTAGCTTCACCGTAAAGTAGCAAAGACTGGAGGACTGTCCATCAGCACTACTTCTGAAAGTAGTGGGGGTCCCCTCCCTTTTGTGTTAACATTCCCACTGCTTGACTTCACTGTGACTAGTAACTAGTTTTTCTGACACGCCTCTATAAGGGAGGAAAATATTTCCTCTACCTTCCTAGGTTCTGTGTCTGGGTCCTGTGAATTAAACTGAGGAAAAAAACAGATTAACAGAAGAAAAATGCATACAAATTTATTTTGTTTTAATTTTATATGTACACTAGAGGCCCAGTGCACAAAATCTGTGCACAGGCAGGGTCCCTAGTGGCTGCCGGCTGCCAGCCAGGGCTTCCCTTCCCTAGCTGCCAGTGGGGGCCTTCCTTAGTTCCATGCCGCCCACTTGTGGTCAGCGCAAAGCATAGTGAGCGATCGAACTCCCAGATCAGTTGAAATCCTGAGGGGACACTTTGCATATTAGGCTTTTATATAGAGAGATGTGAATATACAGAAAAGAAGTGAAAAACCCAAAGAAGTGGTTAATCTTGGAAGCTCATACATCATTTTAACAAACTGTGATTAAGTGTGGAGAAGTGACTAGACAAAGAACAAGAGGGTCAGGCTTCTATGGGGAATAAACTGGAAGGTAAATATATGGGGAAACTAATGAAAGATAAAGGTCATTTTAGTAAGATTTGTTTATACAGACTCATTTAGGCACCATTTCCAACTCCAGTGATAAGGATTGTTCTCCTCATTCTTATATGGGAACATGTTGGGAGGGGTACCTTCACAAGGGGAATTTATGCCCTGCTTTTAGGCCAATAGGGAGAGGATAAAGCAAGCATGTCAAACTCAGGGCCCGTGGCCGAATTCAGCCCACAATGAATCTTTTCGGGGCCCAGCCATTATAACTGTATGTAAGAAATATTTTAATAAAAATGTTGTATCTTAATTCTCACAATATCGTGTTATACATAATTATTAATAATGAACTACAACATTTGCTAATGACTGATTACTATAATCGTGTTGCATTCATTTCCCTTCCCCACCTTACATGCAGGCATACCATTTCCCTCCACTAATACTAGCAGCAAATATTTTAGCAACCT